CCAGCCCAGAACAACATCTTTTAAATAATGAAAGAAAAAGGACTATTGTCCCAGAACTCTGCAGCCTGTAAAATTAAACTTCAGAAAAACAACAGTAACAACAACAAAACCAAAAACCCTCAACCTCCAATGAAGAATTCAGAACTCTTATATTTTGGTTGTGAGCCTAGCCTTTAACGGCTGAGCCATCTCTTCAGCCCGGATTCAGAACTCTTGTTACCACTGACGTGTAAGTCTTTAAAATTAGGGACGGCCAGCGAGGTGGCTGAGCTAGCAGGGGCACTGTGGGCAAGCCCAACAGAGAGAGCTGTGAGGTAATTATCTGCAAGACACAGGAGACAAGGTGACGCAACAGATGTCAGCTCCTCTTAGTACACCTACTGACAAGGTTCTGCTTTGGGGAACCACGTTGATGCTTCACATTTAAACAGTAAAATAATCTAGGTATGGCAGTGCATGACTGTAATCCCAGGATTCAAGAGGCTGAGGTAGGAGGATTGTGAGTTCAAGGCCAGGCTGGACTATATAATAAATTCCAGGTCAGCCAAAGCTACACATTGAGATCCCGCCTTAAAATAAATAAATAGAGCCAGGCATTGGTGGCGCGTGCCTTTAATCCCAGCACTCGGGAGGCAGAGGCAGGCAGATCTCTGTGAGTTCAAGGCCAGCCTGGTCTACAGAGAGTTCCAGGACAGCCTCCAAAACAACACAGAGAAACCCTGTCTCAAAAACCCAAAATAATAATAATAATAATAATAATAATAATAATAATAATAATAATAAATAAATAAATAGACAAAAAGCAAATATTAAATAAAAAGTTTTAAATTTTTATTTACTCATTTATTTTTAGTCAGGGCCTCTGTGCTGGTTAGCTTTTGTCAATTGACACAAGCTAGCATCACCTAAGCAGGGACCCTCAATTTAAGAAGTCTCCATCAGACTGGTCCGTAGGCTTATCCGTGGCAAATTACAGCCTCCACCAGACTGGTCTGTGGGCTTGTATGTGGGGAATTTTCTTGCTGAATGATTGACGTGAACAGGCCCAGACCAAGTGTGGGTGGGATCACCCTGGGGCAGGTGGTTTCTGGGTTGTATAAGCAAGAGAGTGGAGAAAGCCACAAGGAGCTATCTTCCTTTGGTACCTGACTTCCCTCAATGATTGCCTGCCATCTGATGTGTAAACCCGTTAACCTCTCCTGTTGGTTGTGGTCAATGTTTTATCACAGTAACAGAAACCTAGCTAGGACAGTCTCACTCTAGCCCAGGCTGACCTGGAACTCACAGCATTCCTTCTTCGCCTCCTCAAGTGCTGTGATTGTAGGTGTACAGCAAACATCCCCTCCTCTAATGAGGCCGACTTTCTCTCTCTTGGGAAGGGGCCCTTTGCTTCAGGTAAACAGTTTGGAATGTGTACTTACTAAGAAGTCTAATGGGGATTGCCTGGGGCAGGCAGACACGACTAGGACCAGCAATTAAAAGTGAGCCTGCTAAGAAAGAAGTCCCCTGATGGCTGTCAGCTGGGGCAATGGAGCTGAGAACTGCCACCACTGTAGAAGAGAAACGGGGCATCCAGGCATGCTTTCCCTGCTCCTTCCACAGTGAAACCCTGCCTCCAAAAGGGGAAAGAAAAGAGGGAGAACAGGGGGGGACCTGAGCAGGACAGGGAACACACAGCTAAAATAGCAGGGTTATTAGGAGAATGAGTAGTTGGGGGCGGGGCTAGCATGCTAGCAGGGATTTTGAATTGTATAACAGGTATGAAGTTTGTACTGGGGGAACCTAAAAGCCAGCTTGTGCTTTGGTATGCTAATACACACCACTGTTAGACGTTTGTCCTTTCTTCCTTTTGGAATTGGGGAAACAGTTTCCTTTGGACCTGACGAATTTTTTATTTTATTTTGGGGGGGCACAAGTATGGCTATGGTGCCTGCTTTTGTGTGGGTCAAAGGGCAATCCGTATAAATCAGCTCTCTCCTTTCATCATATAGGTTCCAGAGAACCTAACTCAAATCATTAGGCTTGACAACAGGTTAATAAGTACCTTTACCCCTGAGCCACCTTGCTGGTTCTTGTAGGGTTTTTAAAGATACATGTCAAGGATGGTAAAAGAAACGCACTTAAGAAGAGAGAGAATTCAGTGAAACACAGCACTGAAATAAACCTTTCCCTGGTAAGTAACTGTAAGTAAAAGTTAATGACCGCAGAGCCTACTTGGAGCTGAGAAACCCCCAACCTGACAAAGAAAGCCCAAGCGACCATGATGAGAACATCTGCAGGCAGTTAGGAGCTGGGAGAAGCCTGACAAGATGGTCAGCAATGATAAGAACATCTGCCTTGGCTTTGAGGTTACAAAGAATTGATTTGCTGATGGAATTTTCCACCCCCAAAGCTCCCTTTCTGCCCTATAAAATCCTCACGCTCCCTGCTCCTCCCACAGTCTCCATTCCCAAAGAGGGACTGCTGCCCTTCACGGCCTAATAAATGGCATCTGCTTCAGCTGGGGTTAGCCCTCGATTTCTGTTATTTTTCAGTAGGCACAGGCAATCCTCATCTAACAGTATGCTTGTGACTCAGGGTGCAGACTCAAGGATGGGGACAGGAATGTTGTTCAGTGGTAAAGTGATTGTCTAGAATGTGATTGCCTAGAATGTGCAAGACCTTGGGTTTGATCCCATGGAAGGCGGAAAAAAGGAAAAAAAAAATCACTTAGCATTGTCCTCTGAGAGTAAGTTTCCTGCCAACAGGATTGTCATTTTTTAAAAATAAATCAGCTTAATTCATATCAATGAAATATAAAATTACTTCCATGAATGATAATCACTATAAATAGTCTGTAATCATCTGGTTGTTGGTTTTTTTGTTGTTGTCAACTTGACACAAGTTAAGAGTTACCTGGGCCGGGCTTTGGTGGTGCACACCTTTAATCCCAGCACTCGGGAGGCAGAGGCAGGAGGATCTCTGTGAGTTCAAGACCAGCCTGGTCTACAGAGTGAGTTCCAGGAAACCTCCAAAACAATACAGAGAAACCCTGTCTTGAAAAACAAAAAACAAACAAACAAAAGAGAGTTACCTGGAAAGAGGAACCACCGCACAGAGAAAATAGCTCTATCAGATTGCCTATAGGCAATCATATGGAACATTGTATAGATTAAGGACTGATGGGGGGTGGGGCATAGCTCACAGGTGGTGCCACCCCTGGGCAGGTTGTCCTGAGCTGTGTAAGAAATCAGGCTGAGGAAGCCCTGGGCTTGTGAGTAGCATCCCTGGTTTGGCTTCCCTCAATGGACCTGGGATATATAACCAAATGAATCCTTTCCTCCCCACGTTGCTTGGGGGCAATGTTTCATTAAAGCAATAGAAAGCAGACTAAGACAGGTCTATACTCTCATTTTGTGCATGATGTATAGTTTATAATAATATACAGGTTGTTTTTATTCATAATGTCCAAAAGGCAAAAACAGATTGGCATGGTGGTTCAGTGGGTAAAAACCACTGGTCACCAAGTTTGATGACCAGAGTTCAATCCCCTGTACCCTCATGGTGTCAGAGAGAGAGCTGACTCCCCAGGGTTGGCAGACAGTTCATTGGGTAAAAGCATCTGCTGCTGAGTTTAGCAACCTGAACTTGATCCCTAGGACCTGTGTAGTGGAGAGAGACAGAGACAGAGACAGAGACAGAGACAGAGACAGAGACAGAGACAGAGCGAGTGATCGAGTCCCAACTACCTTCATTGTTCTCTGACCTCCACCCTTTTCCATACATATGCACACAAATGAAATAAAATGTAAATTAAAAAATAAAGTAGATAGGTGTGGTATGAATGCCTTCCATCCCAGAGGCGAGGCAGGCAGATCTCTGTGAACCTTGGGGCCAGACTGGTCTACATGGGGAGTCTGAGGCCAGCCAAAGCTACATAGACAGACAACAAAGAAAGGGAGCTGACTCCGACAACTGACCTCCACTCACACCATGGCACACACACTACACAAACAGGTGATTAAAAATTATTAAAGACAATAAGCAGTTGAAACGCTTACCAACTGATGAACAGATAAACCATGATTAATTCACATAGTGGATGTTGATATAAACTAAAACATGAGTAAGCATGAAACGCCCTGTGCTGCAGACTACAGACTCCATGACTGTGGCTATGAATTAAGTCCATAGAGGCAGAAATAGACTGAAGGCAGCAGCTTCAAACCAGGATGAGGAGGATGAATAGGAGCTAAGTGAGAGCCCTGCTATGGGTGAGCTGCTTACATTCGGGGACTTTAAGAAATCTGTATTAGTTTGTGAAAGTGTCTGTACTACTGTATCAAAATTCTTTTCTTTTCTTTGTGTTTTGAGACAGGGCTTCTCTGTGTAACAGCCCCAGCTGTCCTGGAGCTATCTCTGTAGACCAGGCTGACCTCAAACTCACAGAGATCCACCTGCCTCTGCCTCCTGACCGCAAGGTGGATCTACTAACAGGTCTTATCCCTTTGTCTTTTTATTTTGCTTGCAGCATAGCTCTTCCTATACATTCTGGTGTTCTATACACTCAAATCTATCTTTTTCTACCCCCTTCCTCCCTCCCTCCCTCTTCCTCCTTCTCTAGACTAGATCTTACTATGTAGCTCATGCTGGTCTTGAACCTGCTATGTAATACCAGAGACCTTAAACTATGCCTCCCAAATGCTGGGATTAAAAGTGTGTATGCTGGGCGGCTCACACCTTTAATCCCAGCACTAGGAAAGCAGAAGCAGGTGGATCTCTGTGAGTTTGAGGCCAGCCTGGTCTACATAGTGAGTTCCAGGATTCCAGGATAGCCAGGACTGTTTCACAGAGAAATCCTGTCTTAAAAAATTAAAAAACAAAATAAAACAAAATCTCTCTATTTTCTCCTAGTATATGTTACTTTATTTTAATGTTTCATTTGAATGGCCCATTCTTCACCTATTGTGGCAAACCTGAATCTAAGTCTGGCCTGTAGATTTTGTTTAAAGGTGACTTACCTAATTTTTGAGCCCATATTATAGCAGTACCCGTGTCTCCTGCATTGCCTTCAGCTAAACATACAACTTCTTGCCCAATCTTCCATCCAATTAATGGATAAAAGCCTTAGGAAGCAAACAAACAAACCAACAATGTGAGTCTTATAGAAAATACACAACTCATTTCGACACCAACCATAACAGTTTGGCGACACAAACAATCACAAAATGCTTACTCACTAAGCCCACCTGAGTTCAAATCCCAGCCCTCACTAGGTGTGATCTTTCCTCCCCAAGTTGCTTTTGCTCATGGTGGCTTTTGCTCGTGGTGGTTTATCACAGCTATATATACTAACTAAGACAAGTATCAATTACAAAATAAAATAAGGATATTCTGGAGCTTGTTATTTAGGTAATACATTTCTTCCTTGCTATAAGTGTAATTTTATAACAGAGGTAGGATATTATTAATAGTACCAAGAGTATTCATTTTGTTTGTTGTTGATATAGGACCTCAGTAGTAGCTGACCAGGAACACAGCATATGTGGTCAGCATATCTACTTCCAATTGCTGGAATTAAAGGTGTATGTGTCTAGACAGGCGGTGGTGGCACATGCCTTTAATCCCAGCATTCAGGAAGCAGAGGCAGGAACATCTCTGAGCTCGAGGCCAGACTAGTCTACAGAGAAATTTCCAGGAAGCCAGGGCTACACAGAAAAACCCTGTGTCTTGGGGGCAAAAATAGGGAATTGTTATATACATCACAAAGAAACACAAGTATAATTTTAGCTTAGTAACAAGATACATTCTGTCTATTTACCTCCATTAACATGCTGAGGGCTGTTTCCTGTATTAATATCCAAAAACGTCCCGGTTCCCATGGTTAATTTCACATCTCCTGTCTGGAAGCAGCACTCTCCAAACATGGCCGACTGCTGGTCACCAACCTGTCAAGGTGTTCAACTGTCAGATGTACACTGTACCAGCGTCTACTTAGCACAGTCCAGCCCCCCTTTACAGGGTTCTCATGATTACATATTTCACTTGCTCTTTTTTGCCATTTCCTTAGGTTAAAAATAAACCCAAAGAGAACAACTGCATAGTTCAGGGTCTCTCTGGGCAGCGCTGTGGGCAATGGACTAGTTCATGACTTTTGTGAATGTGAGTAATTTTAGAAATGTCAGAATAAAAATTATACTGACAAACTATGCCTTTTCATTTCCCCCTCAAGGTTTCATTAACTTGTCAAGACAGCTGATGTCACTAACTTTTTACTAGGAGTGACAGAGCTATAATAAATAGTTAGAAATCTTAAATCACTCCTGTCATAAATGTGTGTTTCTTTCTCTCTCTCCCTTTTCTTTTTTCAAGACAGGTTTTCTCTGTGTAGTCTTGGCTGTCCTGGAACTCTCTCATACAACTCAGAGATCTACCTGGTTCTGCCTCTTTAATGCTGGGATTAAAGGTTGTGTGCCACCACCACCTGGCCTAAACTTGTATTTCTTGTTTTAAAAGATTTTAATTGTGTTACTATGGCTACATAGAAATACACATAAAACAGCTTATTTAACTTTCTACAGTGCTGGAAATTGACTCTCAGGCCTCACATGGGCTGATGAGTTCTCTACGCTGAGTTACACTCAGAACTCTATTTTTATTCTTTTTAGAGACAGGCTGCCATGCTCACCAGGGTAGCCCCACCCTCTGGAGTACCTGGGACTATTAGCACACACCACTGCCGAGCACTTGCATTATCTGCACACAGTCACAGTCACTAGCACCATATTAAACAAAAGAAACACAATAAAAAATAAAAATAGGACTGGCAAGATAGCTCAGCAGATAAACATTTGCCACTAAACTTGACACTGAGTTTGATCCTTGGGACCCCTATCCCTTTCGAGGCCAAGAATAGCTGAACGCACAATCCCAACACTAGAGAGTCTGACTGGAGGATTTTAAGTCAGAGACAAGCCTGACTGTCTGCCACCCCCCCCCAACCAAATTATAAAACTAAAGGCACCTGGGCGGGGGAGCACATGCACGCGATCCCAGCACTTTGGAGACTAAGCGGCTCACGCAGAATTCAGGCTACATAATAAGACCCTGTCAGTCAGCGGTGGTGGCTCGAGCCTTTAATCCCAGCAGTTGGGAGGCAGAGGCAGGTGGATTTCTGTGAGTTCAAGGCCAGTTGGGTCTATAGCACTAGTTCTAGGACAGCTAGAGCTGTTACACAGAGAAACCCTGTCTCAAAACCACCCCCCCAAGAGCTGTTGTTCATAAGTCAAATTTACTTTAAAAATCAAAATAAATAAAGAATCCCCCCTTTTTTAATTAATCACAGCCATACCTTAATCTAACATTAAATCTATCCTTAGCCATTGTTTTTAATACTGGCATCTAGCTGGGCAGTTGCATGCTGAGGTTTTGTAACACGCAGGTACAACTTCCTCCACTAATGTCAATTGCTTTCTTACTGATTTGGGCTGTTCTGATGAAATATAAACTAAGCAGTGGCCCCTTAGTGCTTTATTTTTTTTTAATTCTTAATTTTTTTTTATATGGCTGGTGTTTTGCCAGAGTGTTGGGTCTTCTGGAACTGGACTTAGAGACAGTTGTGAGCCATCATGTGGGTGCTGAGAATTGAACCTGGGTCCTCTGGAAGAGCAGTGAGTGGTCTTAACTGCTGAGCCATCTCTCCAGCCACCCCCCACACCACTGGTTTTACAACCACAGCATCGACAGAAGTAAAATATTACTCAGAACACAGTATCTTTAGAATACGTAATAGTTGGAAATGGTTACAGAGTACTTCCACCATAGAAGACTGGCCAGTGGTCCTCCACCAAAAATACTAGGGATGCTTCTCATTATATGCATGACCTTTTCAACTTCAAAGAAGAAAATAAAAGAGCCACCAGGCACATGTCTGTTTCTTCAGTGCTGACATTGAACCCAGGGCCTTATACATGGTAGCAAATACTCTAACACTAACAGGCTGGCCTTGAACTGACTTCCATGGGCCACCACACCGGGCTCAGGCATTAGTTTTAGTCTACTGAAGACCTTTATTTTTCTTAAAGCTCGTTCCCAACTATTCAAACATATTTATTCATTTAGTTTTTACCCCCATGTCTTCTACTTACCAAGGCAACAACTGGTATAGGCACACCAAATATTTCTTTATCCACTGATCCAAAATTATGGCTTCAAATAAGATAGATGAAAGAGTTAATCGTTGCCCTGGACACATTCATTCTAAAATCCCACAAACTGCTTTTCAAACAGGCCACAGCATTACACAAATGATGCAGAAGCATCAAACCCATAATAATATAACAAAAACTTCCTTTCCCCATCAAAGCACAAAGAATTCAAAGGCAATTTTGTGGGTCTGAGTTCGGTTTACCTTGTGTCCTTCACAGGAGGCAGGATAGAGAGTGGTATGGAAACCACGTTGGCTATGATCTTGCTCCAACACATCTGAGCATGAAAATACGGTGTCAGGATATGCAAGCTTGAATGGTTCACACCTCTACCCGCACTGCAAGACATCCCATTGTATGCAATAAACATAGCCATGGACTGTCAACTACAATCAGTTAAAAAAGAAGCTAGTCTAAATTAAGAAAAAACTGGTGATTCAAAAAAGAAGATAAAAGTCTTTACCCCAAATGGATCAAATAATCCAGTTGTACTGGCATTTGAATAATCCGTGGCATATGAAGAACCTAAATTTATATTAGAAATAACACATTTATTATCAGGTAATATAAATCGTCTAAGCCTAGTATATAATCTAGACCTTTGTCTATCTTCAAATTCATCCTAAAATGAATGGTTGCAACATTCAGATTTCCAGGAAAATTCCCACCCAATTTCTATAAACCTTTTTTATAGATTTTTATTCTGATTGAGGCTTTCTTTAAAAACTTCAAAACTACAGGTGTGTGTGTGTGTGTGTGTGTGTCACAGCACACAAGTGCAGATAAGAGGACAATTTCAAGGGTCCATTCTCTTTCCACCATGGGTCCCAGGGATCAGATTTGGTCCTCAGGTTTGGCAGCAGGCGTCTTTACCAAGTAAACCTTTTCACCAGCCCCTCTCCCACTACAAAGCACTGTCTGCACATGCAGGCCAGAGGACAGCTTTTCTGGAGTGTATTCTTTCTACCATGTGGGATCTAGGGACTATCTCAGGTCATCAGGCTTGACAGTAGGCATCCTTACCAGCTAAGTCATCTTACCAGTCCCTGAATGTCACAAAAGCAATTTTACAGATAAAACCCTGGGATCCTGAGTTTTAAGGGAAGAGGTGTAGAGGTGCTAACTGCTACCCTCACCCTCAAAAGTATACCCAAGTATAGTGTTATCACTGTTTTATTTATTTTTTCAAAATTTAGTTAGATTTACTTTCTTTTGTGTGTATTAGTGTTTCACTTGTATGTATGTCCATGCACCAAACGCATGTCTGGTGGCCTGGGAGTCAGAAGAAGGCACTCGAATCAGAACTGGAGTTAGAAATGGTTGTGAGCCAACATGTGGGTCTTTGGCAATTAACAGCTGAGCCACCTCCTGAGCTCTTAAATTATTTTTTTAAGTTAGCACACAAATCAATGTGTTTCATTATGACATTTTCATATATGTTATTTTACGTACTCGAGGCAGGCGGATCTCTGTGAGTTCAAGGCCAGCCTGGCCTACAGAGCTAGTTCCAGGACAGCCTCCAAGACAATACAGAGAAACCCTGTCTTGAAAAAACAAAAAACTCTTCCTTTTCTCTCATGACTCCTCCCCCCCCACTCACTCAAATAGAGGTTCCACATATGAGAGATAATGGGGTATCTTTTCTTCTAAGTCTGGGTTACCTCACTTAGCATGATTTCTAGTTCTGTTCATTTTCCTGCAAATGTCATGACTCCTGTTTTACAACTGAATAAAACTGCATTTTATGTTTGTACCACATTTTTCTTATATTGATTATATGTTGGTGGACTTCTAGGCTGGTTCCCTTTTTTGGCTATGTAAATAGGACAGCAGTAAACACAGATGTGTAGTTATCTCTGTGGTATGCTTCCAGTCCTCCAGTTATATACCTGAGTGGTACAGTCAGGTCAGATGGCAATTCTCTTCTGACTTGTTGAGAAGCCCCCATGCTGGTTCCCACCGTGGCTGCAAAAGCTTACATCCCAGCAGCAGTAAGGACCCCCTTTTCCCACATCCTCACCCGCATTTGCTGCTATTTATCTTTTGTTCATTTTTGTTTTGACACATGGTCTCTCTCTATTGCCTTGGATGTCCTGGAACTTGCCATGTAGACAAGGCTGGTCTTGAACTCATAGAGAATCACTTGCCTCAGCCCCCAAATGAAGAATTAAAGACCTGAGCCACCACACCAGGCTTTATTTATCCTCTTGGTGATAGACGCTGATCTGGGCAAGATGAAATTCAAAGCAGTTTCAATTTGTATTTCTCTCATGACTAGAATTACAGGACATTTTTTAATTGGACATTTCTATTTCTTCTTTAAGATGATGTTTAGGAGTTGTGTTTAATTTTTACATTCTTTAAATATTCAGATATTAGCCCCTGGTCTGGGATGTAGGTGGCAAAGATTAACCCCCAACTCTGTAGTCTGTTTCTTATTTATGACTGTTTCCTTCACCATGCAGAAGCTTTTAACTTCAAGCAATCCTAGTCACCAATTATTGGGATTATTCCTGTGCTAATACAGTCCTTTCCAGAAAGTCCTTGCCAATAACATATCCTTATACCTTTTGCCAACATTATATTCTAAGAGTTTTTGTTTCATATCTTACATTACAATCCTTTTTTTAAAAAAGGTTTATTTTCTTTTTACCTGTGAGTGTATGTACACATGTCTGAACGTGCCCACAAAGGCCAGAAGAGGCCGTGGAATCCTGGGAGCTAGAGGTATAGACATTTGTTAGCTGCCTCATATATGGAGAACCAAACTCGGTTCTTCTGGAAGTGCAACAGCAAGTATTTTTAACCACTGAGACATCTCTCCAACGCAAAATAATCAGTTTATGATTTTTTTGTCTTGTTATTTTGAGACAGGGTCTCTCTAAGTAGTCCTGGCTGTCCTAGAGCTTGCTGTGTAGGACAGGCTGGCCTTCGATTCATAGAAACCAGCCTGCCCCTGCCTCCTGAGTGATGGGATTAAAGGCGTGCACCAACCACACCCAGCTGTTTTGTGTTATTTTTATTTTTGTTTTGAGACAGAGACTTACTGTGTAGCTCTGGCTGAGTCACAAGTGCAGGGACTACAGGAATGCGGCACCGTATCCAGCTAGGATTGTTTTCTTCTAGTTCTGTGAGAATGTCATCATGGGCTAGAGACAGCCCGATAAAGGTACCTGTCTCCATGCCTCTGGACCCGCATGGTGGATGGAGAAAATTGACTCCAGCAGCTCAACCTTCAGCTCCCACAGTCCATCACTACAATTTCCCTAGTTATTTCTCTAGTTGGCTGCATTCTTGTTTTTTTCTTTCTGTCCCATCAGTATTAAGACCTTGCTGGCTTACTGTGCTGGATGGACAAGGTGGATTCCTTCCTAGTTCTCTGTTGATCAATTCCTCTCATAAAATTGACTCTTTCCTGTATACTATGATTGAGATTTTCTTCCTCTTCAGTGTAGTATGGTATTCCTTGATGCATCTTCTGCAGTACTGGCTGAAAATCAAGGACGACCTGAGCCTGACTTGCCTTTGAGATGTCCTGTTTCTCCATCATCTGTAAAAGAAAGCTTGGCTGGGCACAGCACTCTTGGTTGCAGTTTTTACTTTTGGGGCTTGAAAGCATCATTCCATGCTGGGTGTTGCCAAGGATTTGATGTCATTCTGATGTTTCTGTTTTTGTAAGTAGTTGGTATTTTCTCTTTAGGGCTAGGGTTAGGGTTTTCTGTGTTCTCTGCTTTGTGTTTTGGCATTTTGACTACGCCATGAAAAAGTTCTTCTGTGGCACTGCCTATGTGGAATTCTAAGTGTCCCCTCTATTGGACATTGATTTCTTTTTTTTAATATTTATTTAATTATTATGTATACAGTGTTCTGTCTG